ATATTATATTATATTATATTATATTATATTATATTATATTATATTATTATATTTTGCCTGTGCTGCACTTCTATAGAATCTCTCAACCATTTGAAATGAAAACAAAAAAGTATTGAAGCCAAAACTGCAGTTTGGTAATATGGCCAGACCGTGCAATAGCTTATTGGTACTCTGTGGAAATCTCTTTACATTTTTTTTAGTGCAGAAAATAAAGTCTGAAACAGTGGGCATATATGACATGGAAATTAACTTCAGCTGCACTTGCATTTCTGATCTCTTTAAAAAGAAAACACTTTAAGTTTTCAAACACAAATATTTGAAATTTACAATTTAGACCAGCCATGTTCTCTGATTAATGTAATTAATTACTTGATTAATGTAATAAATAAGTTTGAAATTTAAATGGCTCTGTCTTGTCGTAATCTGGACCATTGCTAAATAATGCCAATGCATACCAAGCATTAATAATAATAATTAGCACTTCTCTGTGGCCTCTCCTTGTCCAGATATTTTTCTTTCATTATTGTACCATTTATAGTGCTCTTAATAATATTTGTGTGATTACAGTGGTAGATAAAGTTGTGTCAAGATGACATGTAGTCTCCATTTTAAAATCTGGAACTAATTACCTCAAATTAAAAATGAAACAATTCTACGCAGCAACCCAAAAACTTTTAGGTTACAATTTTCCTTGTTCTAGAAAAAAAAAAGTTACCAAGAGAAGAGCATAATCTACTACCCCTAAGATCATTCTTCTTCCACAATATAGTCACACAACAATTCCACTTCACATAAGTTGCAACCAGTCTTTAAACTTGCAGTCACCATACAGGTCTGTCAAACTGGCAGCCTGCAGGCTGGATACATCACATGCAGGCCACGCCCATCTCAGCTCCGCAAAGGCAAAAAACACCATGGTACATTGATCCGGCCCGTGACGTGATCAGGTTTGACACCAGTGCTATAACATCTCCATGTTCATTTGGTCACAAATTTGAATGCTTGGCAATCTGTGCACATTTAGAACGATTGCAGTGTCCCATGGATATCTGATCACCATTTGCCGGCTTCTGACATGCAAGGTGAATGAGGAAACCAGCAGGACGTTGTAAGTTGCAGTCACTTGATTTTGTGCTTAATGACTGCAGGTGTTTCACTTAGTGACTATAGCCCGAATTGACATTGAAAGTTGGGTGCCATCATGTGATGTTTAATTTTATTACCATGTTACTTAATGACAGAATTGCCAGTCCCAATTAGAGTTGGTAAGTCAGGACAACCTGTATTCCAATGATGGTGAACCTTTTTATTGTAGTGTGCCAAAAGCAAGTGCGTGACGGCACCCACAATGCAATGTGCGGGCCCCCACACATGAGCATGCAATACCCTCACCCCAGTCCCTTACCTGCACTGCACATGTGTGTGTGCCTCACAGATGATTTTCAGCCCATTTGAGGCCGTTTTTGCCCTCCTGGGGGCTCGAGGGAAGCCTCTGCAGCCTCCGGAGGCCGAAAAACGGGCCCATTTTGGCACTTCCGGTATTTCTGGAAGGCCCGTTTTTTGACCTCCCGAGGCTGCAGAGGCTTCCCTCGAGCCTCCAGGAGGGCAAAAACTGCCTCAAACAGGCCTAAAATCAGCAGGGAAGCACGTGCATGCGCAGAGCAGGTGGTTTTGGCTGGGGCTTGTGTGCCCACAAAAATGGGTCTGCATGCCACCTGTGGCACGTTTGTCATAGGTTCGCCATCACAGCTGTATACTTACTATAAGCTTGCAACAGTGATGTAAAATATAATTTTTTAAAACAATCATTAAAAACAAATACAGAAAAGTATTTTTTTAAAAAAAGTAAAAGTTTTTGTAGCTGCTGTGCAAACCAGTACATGCATTTAATGCCTTAAATGTGTATATATATAAATTGAATTGTCTGTGTACCTATGCGTGTCTGTGTGCATGCACGTTCATTTATCTCTCTCAATCCTTCTCTCCAAGGAGACTCACCCACAGGAAGGAACTGTCAATCACTTTGCTGGAGAAGAAAAATAGGAGCGGCACCACAGCAGGGCGATTATATCCAATGGGAGGATATAATAGTCTGCAATCCAGACTGAACACCTTGCAAGCTGTTGGCAATCCTGTCAGTAAGAAATGATTTTCTTAAGCTGATTTAGAATCAAGTCATGAGACCATTTTAACAACTTAGTGCAGATGTACCATAAGACAAGTATTGTACATATCATTTTACTTATTCCCAGAATATAGCTATAGGGATGCAAATAGCTGCTTTAGTTTGGCAAGATTTCTGCCTATAGGTGAGGGACAATATGGGAAACTGCTCAGAAGTAACTCCATATGTCTTTCTTGAGTTGGGGTCTGACATGACCTTGGACTTGCAACAATTGGGTGGAGTATCTGAAATCTCTCACAATGCTTCATAGTTGTCTGAAGCTTCAGTTATCTACTTTACTGTTCATTTGTCTCTTGTACTTTAGTGTTAATTTGCAGCCAATCCCTGCAGGTTATTCCCTCGGTTGATTTGCCTATTCATCATAAGCCACACATTTTCACCATTCGTGTTATTCCAAGTCCTCTGGACCTTTCTATAGGTATGTTCAATCTTGATATGCAATGCTAGGTCACGTTCTCACCCGAGTTCTGTATTCCGTCTCCTTTGTTATTATGCCTTTGTGTTCTTTTGATTTCTATAAGTTGCTTTGGAAAAACCGGTGGATTACATGTTTAAATAAAAATATTTTAGTAAAAAATAAATTCATACCCAGAAATAATCTTGTTTTTTCTCTCTCTCTTAAGTGCAATTGAGTAATTATGACCTGGAAGGCTGGAATTTGATAGACATCTGCATTATTTTAGAGGCAACACCCAATTAAGATTTCATTCGACCTATGCACGCACGCCCCAACTGTTCCATGATTTCCAATTCATTCTACATTCCCATATTTTAAATAGAAAAAAAAAGTCGCATCAAACTATGAGCGTGTACTTTAACTCACTTAAATCCTAGCAAAACCAAATTTGCTTTTTTTATCTCTAGCTACCAAATGTTTAACGAAGTTAACACCATGCCTTTCCCCCCCCTGCTAGCTTCATCAACACTGTTCTCTGAATAGCACACGGATTGCAGGAACCTGGCTCTGGTCATTAAGAATTGTTTCTTCTTGCACCCATGAAATCTGTCTAGGGAAAGGTGATAGTTCCCTTTCGTTTTCGTTGTTATTAAAGAAGAAGGAGTTGGAAATCTTGCAGATAGACTACGAAGATTGACTGGTAAATCCCGATTTACATTTCCATGGGACTCTTTGGCAGAAGTTACACCAGTTAAACTGGTATAACATCCATGCCTATAGTCTCTGTTTATTTCCTGTCACATATTTTAACTGACACTAATACGTAGCACTGCCTTTTCTAATTTTGTGTCCTCCAGATGTGTTGAAGTGCAAATCAAGCATCTCTCAGTCAGTGTCCCAGTGGGGAGCAGACGTCTGGGGAAAGGTGCTGCTGAAGGATGCATTCGCCCCGGCATGTAGCAGAAGGATACATCCGTAAGACTTTGAAATCTTTAATAAAGCAAGTGAAAATACAAGGAGGTAAACAAAAATATTTATTTGCTAGCTTGTTTGCTAGGTTTATATGCATCTTCAATCAACAAGTGACTCTGAGTAGCTCACCCAGTTCTTGCAATGGTGAATTTAAAAAGGTCAAAAAGTAATAATAACATTGCCAACCAAGTGGCAATTAATCCAGAACAAAAAAACATAGTGCTTTGAAATTCCAGAATCAACAAATGTTCCCTTGCAGGAGGAACCATCCTAGCTTGCCAAAACAGGTTGGGGGTTAATGGCCTTGCAGAAAGCCAAAATCTTGAGGGATCACTTGAGCTCCAGGGAGAGGGACAAATTGTTCCAAAAAAGAGGATAGCAGCAGAGAAGACCTGCCTCTGAGGTTAAATACATCCCCTAAAGGTAAGAACCTGGAGAAAGTCTTTAAAATCTGATTGGAGGGGTAGAGGGCATAGGAAGAAGGCAGCCCCCCAAATACACACATTAGAAACCTTAAAAGTTTTAAAATATGACATTATATTACATGAATTATATTCATAAATGTTCAGATAACTAATGCAGCTATCAACATAGTGATATTACACATACATATACGTATACATATACATATACATATACATACACACACACACACACACACACACACATATGTGTGTGTGTGTGTGTGTGTGTGTGTTTATCAACTTGAACTAGAGCATTTTTGATGGATTGCAGCTTCTGAATGCTTATCAAGGGCAGCCCCATATTTAGGGCATTACAATAGACCAACGGAAACTTGACAAGATGCAAGTGATTATGAGTATGGTTCCAAGTCTAGAAAAGTATAGTTGGTTTATATGCTGCAATCATACAAAGACCTCCTAGCCACAGCTGCCATCTGCTCCTCAAGCAGGAGCTGTGAGTCTAGAAGGGTTGGCAGATTTTGGACCAGTAACATGTACACCCTTAACTGGGGTCAGAAATTTTCAGAGCAGGTTCAGGTCAGAAATCCTGTCCCTGAAAACCTTCCATGATGAAATGTCGGTCGTGAAAATGTCGTTTTTATATCCAATTGTATTATCTTGTCACCCTGAAGGCTGAAATATCTGAACATGTATGTTTAATAGAGTAATATTACAAACACGAGCACCCCTCACTTTGGAGTTATTTTTAGAAGTCTTTAACAAGGGACAAAACTATTTCTGTCACTCATGTCATTTTAAGTTAATATATTAATAGCATCTGTATGATGTTTCATACTTCACTTTAGCAAATATACTCTGCATTTTGTTTTACAGTGGGACTATGGAACTGGGGCATCTCTGACTCAGCAAGCATAGCTTCTGAGCAGGATTAAATAAAGTCGGAAACTAAAACACCCGAAGAGCCGTAGCATCCCCATGTCTGATCATGAATTAATAAGAATTGATGCCTTTTAGTCGAGTCAATTCTGCTTTACTGTGGGCCTTTCTGAGCAAGTAAGTTATATGCTCTAAATGCGTTGTGACCTGGATCTAGTATGTTATAACCTTCCAGAATTTAGCGTACATCTCCCATGGCTATGCTGAATTGCTACATTACTCATTACTTGGGCCTATTCAGCTATAGTAATTTCACTGTCTTGGACACAAAATTTGCTAACTGTACTGCATCAACAGGAATGCTTGCCAACGAAAGAGGAAGTTGAATTTTCATCCTATGCACTTTGAGCTCTAATAAAATACATAGTCACCACAACAATTATGTTTGCTATAAAATAAAGATGGGCATGTTTCCAGCCATAGCTGCACTTTCTCTTGTAATTGAATTATCATCTGCAAAAGCTCAGGGACAAAACCTCAAGATCTACTTTACAGGAAATAAAAAAAAAATCTGATCATGGGAGCACTGAACATGCGGTTCTGGATTTTAATACTTAATGTTTAATTTATTTCCTTTTTTCTCCTTCATATGCAAAGTAGACAATCTATCTTTATTAAGAGGATGTTTCCTTAATGTCTGCCCCAGTATAATGCATTACTAATCAGGAGGGCAGCCGGGAGACATAGGATAAGTCGGATTAAGGGAGGGAATGCTCTGACAAACGTAAAACTGGAATGCAGCTGAGCCCAGATTGAGCAGTAAAGACAGGGTATCTTCTGCTGTCTAGGAAAGGAAACTAGTTTCAGTCCATTAAAGAATCACATCCCTCCAGATACACGGATTGAAAAAAAAACCCTTTATTTTAAAATAATAAAAAATTAAGAGAGGGCTATGAGCTCACAAGAAAAGTTTGGTGTATTCTTCACTTCAAACTACTGAGCCTTCCTGCTCCTTTTGTGCGATAGGTATCACCCAATGATGAAACATACATCACGTGGTAATAATCAATTTGAGGCATAATTTTAAGACTTTCTGTTCCTTGTTCTAAGGGGGTCTTAGACATTAGCCCAGTGGCATCACTGCTGATTGTCTTCAAGTTGCCTTCAAATATTTTGGAGTTACTGGGTGTGGAATTTGCTTCCTCCTAGCTCTTCAGAGAGAGAAGTGGGGGGAAGAAAGTGAGAGAAAGAGAGATGAGAGAGACAGAGACAGAGAGATGAGAGAGGGAGGAAAGGAGAGATGAGGAGAGAGATGGGAGAGAAAGAGATGGGAGAGAGGGAGAGAGGGAGGGAGAGATGAGAGAGAGAGAGATGAGAGAGAGATGAGAGAGGGAGGAAGGGAGAGATGAGGAGAGAGAGGGGAGAGAAAGAGATGGGAGAGAGGGAGAGAGGGAGGGAGAGATGAGAGAGAGAGAGATGAGAGAGAGATGAGAGAGGGAGGAAGGGAGAGATGAGGAGAGAGATGGGAGAGAAAGAGATGGGAGAGAGGGAGAGAGGGAGGGAGAGATGAGAGAGAGAGAGATACCTGTTTCCCAGAGAAAAGAAAATATGGGGAGGCACAAAACCTGGGTAGGCATGGCTGGGAGGTCATGTGACTGGGTGGGAGTGAGTTACATCAAATTGACTACACCCACCCAGGTTTTGTGGCTCCTGGTGTTTTCTTTTCTGTGGGAAATGGGTCCAAATGGCTTTCTGAGTGTTTAAGGTTGCAGACCCCTGAGTCCAGGGTTCGTTCTGCTGCAGGTCATACGTGATGGTATCAAAGACAAATATATGCAGAAAGACTGTGCAGAGTCTTGGTGTAGCCCAGCTATCACTGGGAATCTGATGGAGGATGGGAATCATCAGTAGGGACAGTAAAATGCATTCCAATATAGTTTTCTGCTGGGGTGGATGGGTGGATGGGTAGAGATGGGTGAGAAGGCCCATGGTACATTCATGAAGACACATGACTTAATAGTTATCTGTTTTTCAGCCTGCTAGTGGCTGCTAGTCCAGATGCAAAGCAAATCTTAAACAACACGTTCTGAAGTGACCAAACCTTATCTAGGCCAACACATATGAGGTTGCCTTGGTATGAATGTCTGGACAAGTGGAAGAATAGTGAATCACAGGCAGTCTATTTCAATAGTTTAAAGAAGCCATCATTGTCAATGACATAGCTATCATGGATCATCTTACTTCATTTCCAGAAAGTAGGTCTTTCACAGACCCAGAAATCTCCTTAGCATAAACAATCATCACTGAATATATATTCATTCAGTTGAGAAATGTATAATGATGCACCAGGCTTAAGCTTGCTACATTCCTGTCTGCATAATAAGACCTTATCAAGTTTTCCTATTTACATAGCAACCCTAGAATATTGATCCTTTTCAAAGGATCTGAAACATTTTCCACACTATGCCTCTGGCTGTTAATTACTATCTTCTTTGTGTTTGCCAAAAATATGGCTGCTTTACAAAACCCATTTGGGAGGTTAACTCTCCATCACAGTGGGCAATGGCAAAAGACTGTGAGAGGCAGTGGGTCAAATCCTGAAGTCAAACCTGCCTTACTGTGCCAAATCAGCTGGTGATCCACTGAAGAGCAAGGGTAGCAAAGCTAGAGGAATCTTGCCTTGATAGATATATGCAAATGGCTTAATGGGAAATGGGAAACCAGCCAATTTGCTTTAGTGCATCCTAGCCAACGTAAGCCATACTGGCGCAGATGAACCAACGGTCTTACTGGGAACAGTCTGTTCCAGTTTTCTTCCTGCTGTTTGTAAGTCTCTCCTAAGAATGTTGATTCTTCGGGAGGATGAGATACGTTAGAAACTTAAACAAGTGCTTTGTTTATCAGGAAAAAAAATGTTTGTGCCGACATAATAAACAAGGTATCTGTCCTCAGTTGGACCATGCAGGTTCTAGTCCACTGACCACTAACTTTAGAAAACGCCCCTTGAAAGAATAACTAGAAGAACATCTGGGGGAGTCAACCTGGCTAATGGTTATGTCTGCCAGGAAAACAGAAATTTTAGTTTAATAAATGTGGAAGACCCAAGGTTGGGAATGGGTTTGCAAAAGAACTAAAAATGTGCATTTTTATATAGTCCCCATCCTGTTATTTCACGTTCAGTGCAGAATGCAGGCTTTCTTAGTAATCTGTTTCTAAAACTCAGTATCCATATTCTAAAGCAATATTAGTTAATATTAATCAGAGGAAAGCAATTCTCTGGCCTCTGAGGTTATATTTCATGTATGGCTGTTCTCCAGCCCACATAATATCTCTACATAGCTACACAGGAAACAAAGACTAGCGCCTGGAGAAAATCTCCAAAGGGCCATAAAAATAAAAGATAAGGTTCATTGTATGGTAAAAGCATTCACATGACAAGCATAAACTCACCTTTGCAGCTGCCTTGGACATAGCATAACACAAATAGATCAGATGGGCAAGTTACCAGGGCAGGAGACTCCCTTAACCTCTTTTTATAGAGGATGAACAATAGTGAGAGGAAACATAGGCCTCCTGTGCTAGTTTAGTCTTTCGGGAAGGTAACATGAGAAATAGGGGTGACTATCTAGGAGAACGGTAGAATGTATTTCTCAGTGAAAGAATAATAGAAAATTGGTACAATCCTGGTAGAGGAGGTGAATGATAATTGTGCAGTTTGTATGTTCAACTTCACTGAAACAATTTTCCCTGAATGCAAATACAATCTCCGTGTACATTACTTCTTTTAGTGCCATCAAAATTACTTCGCCTGATTATGTAGGGATATAAGTCATTGTGGTGTAAGGCATCTAAGTTTTAGTGAAATGGCAGTTTAAAAACACCTCTTGGTTTTGCAAATTTTGGGCAAAACCAGGAAGGCCAAATGCATTAACAATATATAAAATTCTATATTATTAGCATTATTGGAATGGGCTTTACAGTAGATCATCCTAAATGTAGGCTATTTTGTTTTGAAACAATTGTAGCTATAGTGGATTTTAATTATTTTCAAGAACTCTGAAAGAACAAGCTGGGGTTGTCCTATTTTAGAACCTCAATAGCAAAGGGTGTTTAAACATATCAAGGATACCGTGTTTATTGTGCTTTTAAAATCAGTTAATGAAATTAATGTTATTATAAAGTTATGAACATATTTTTATTATTTTTTCATGTTTCTCTCAAGCATTTCAGAAGGTTAATTATCAGCTTCATTCAGGTGGAAGAGTAAAATGAATAAGGGAACACTTAACACCCGTGATTATGAGCTTCAAGAACCATAAGATTGGTTTGAAATCCCTAAGATTCATAATATTAAATTGTTACAAAGTTCATTACAGTTTAAAGATTTGAATGTACTTTTGAATTGCATACCCAAAATTTGGAACATCACTCTATGAGGAACTGTTTATTGATCCAACATGGAGAATAGCAAACTGTTCAATGTCAGAAAGATAGAGGCTTCCCAGATTTATCATCTCAACAGTATGTGTTCTCAACTCATAATTTTGGGTATGTGTTTACTTTCTATCTATCAACTGGCTCTTTACCACCGCATCGGAAAAACTGATGGATATTATCTAATGTGGTTAAAGTTTAATGATGGATAGAAAAATGTGATTGAATTATTATATGTACCCTAATATGTTTTGGGTTTTTTAAATATATTTTTTGTTCTGTTTTTGTTTTTGTGCTCTTTTTTTCTTTGCCGTACATTAAAGCATAACACGAGAGAGATGAAAAGTGCTGCTTGATTCAAAACTAGCCTTGCTTTCCTCAAGTACTGCTTGAGGACTGCTTGGGGACTGCAAATCCTGTTTTCAATCTTTTGGTGATTGAACCATGTTGTAATGGGGATTTGCCATTCTACACATTAAGGAAATGCTGTTTAAAGGCAACAGCAGAAAAAGGGAGAAAAATGCTTAGACTTCTTGCAGGGTTAAAGAAGTGTCCACAGTCAGGGCATTCATTCTTGGAGATATCTCAAATGCTTCCAAAACAGCTTGGAGACTAGAGATGTTTGAGGGAAGGGTGTTAAGAAGAAGAAGACCGGGAATATATAACCCTAT